CTCTCTCTCTCTCTCTCTCTCTCTCTCTCTCTCTCTCTCTCTCTCTCTCTCTCGTGTTCTTTGTGGTTGCTCTCGTTGTGCGTATTGTGCGTGTGTTGGATGTTTTTTTTTTTTTCGGTTTCAGTTTCGTCAGCGAGCTCCCGGAGGGGTACGACACCCTCGTGGGGGAGGGGGGCGCTTCGCTCAGCGGGGGGCAGAAGCAGAGGGTGGCCATCGCTAGAGCGCTCATCAGAGATCCGGAGGTGATACGACATGCCATGCCATGCCATGACATGACATGACTGACAGACCTGACACATCCAACCTCTCTATGAAAACCGATGCTATTGTTTTGCGCATCGGAAGCGCTCTCGTCAGAGACCTGGCGGTGACATGACATGACATGACATGACATGTCAGATCTGACACACGAACTTCTCCATGAAACCGATGCTATTGCTTTCGCATCGCAAGGGCTCTCGACAGAGATCCGGAGGTAACGTGAATGACATGACATGGCATACCACGCCCATTCATCCAAACGGTTCCGATGATATTTTTTTTCTTCAGGCGTCTTGAACGAAATGTGAAATCTGGATTTCGTCTCTCTCTCGCCCGCGTTTTTGTGCTCTTTTCGAGCTACAGCAGTGCCCATCTCAGAGTCGTATGCATATACCCCGCTATATATCCGGAAAAGGCATAATGTTATCGTCGGCAGTTCTTCTATATTTGCGTTGCTTTTGAACCCTTCGGACCCCACAAGATGCGAACCGCAACAAGCGGCCTGATTCATCTGACCACTAGTAGCCGAGCGAAATTTCCGTACAGGTTTGTTGTATTTTCTTTGTAGGAGTTTAGTTTTGGGGGGGCATGATTTGGTCGTGAGCAGAGCATCCTGAGCGAGTGCGGTGTCTTTGCGGTTCAAGATTGTTGGGTGTCCTTACCCTTTATTGAAGTCGTTTTGTACCTGAACATGTAAACCTCACCCCTTCCGCGAACTAAGTAGGTTCTCCTGCTTGACGAGCCGACGTCTGCGTTGGACGTGGAGAGTGAACGCCTTGTGCAAGATGCCTTGGACACGGCGGGGAAGGGGCGCACCGTAATTTTGATCGCGCATCGGTTGGCCACCATACAGAGGGCGGACCGAATTGTCGTCATGCAGGTAGCGTTATTGTTGTTATCGTTGTTGTTGTTGTTGTTGTTGTTGTTGTTGTTGTTGTTGTTAATTGTTTTTGCTGTCTTGATTTTTGAAACCGTTGCGGTCTCTGCTCAGCACCAGGCAGTACATTCTACTGTACCATCCGTGCCGGCCCAACTGACGCGCCTGCCTTGGGTGGTCTGAGGCCAACCACAAAAAACGGGCTCACACCTACGCCAAAGCAAGCAAGTACGACTCAAAAACAGGCAAATACGGCCCAAGAAGAAGAGAATACTACGCAAAAACAAGCAACAACGACGGTAAAACAGAAAAACCAACAAGTGGTTTGGAATATATATGTATGACATGCGTACATGTCGCCTCGAAATGTGCGCGGCTCTATACCTACACATTTTAGGGTGCCACTGTAGAGTTTGGTATGCGTTTCATTGCGGCGTGACGTAGAGTAGTTTGACGCATGTCGGGTTGGTGCAATAACCTTGCATGGTTCTATCGATCATAGTTCACATGTCGGCACTGCTGTGCGTCATCTCAAAGCAGACATTCCGGCGGGGAGGGTCAAGAGTGGCGCTCGAGTGACCCATGAGCGGTTTACCCGGATTTAACGACCGGTAGAATGAAGAAACTTGCCTCGCCAAATCGTTCCAGTAACGTGCCGTACCCCACCCACACGCCCCGCCCCGCCCAACCTGCCCTTCTGTTGCTTTGTTTTGTTTTGTTGTTTCCTTTTCGACTCAGAATGGCCGTTTGGTGGAATCGGGGAAGCACGACGAGCTGCTATCCTTAGGTGAGAGAGTGTCATGATAAGAGTCTTGCCTTCGAGACTTTGTACAAACACGCCTGTAAATGCGCCGGCGCGAGTGATTGCGTGCAGTGGCTTCTGTTTCGCTTGATGGAATCGTTCTGGCTTGTTGTATCTGGTTAGCTTGTTGTGGACCGCAGGCACCGTGTGGCCCACGGTGTTGCTTCGTTTTGCATACTACATGCAGGATGATGTCGGGATTTGTTTCCTAACGCGCGTCGTATGGTCAGCCAGCGATGTTCTTCTGCAGTTGTCCCGCAAGCGCACTGTCCTTGGTGTTCCCTCAGGCGCTACGCTATCGAAAGTCACTGCGGTTCCTGCTGACTGCGGTTCCTGCCCTACCTACCCGTGTTTAGGAGTCATCCTCCGCCGTACTATCTTGTGCCTCTCTTTGTCTCTCTTGTGTCCCTCTTTGTCTCTCGATTGTCTCTCTCACTGCCTGTCAGCCTGTCTCTGTTCCTTGGTGTCACGTTGATTGCTTGATTGCTTGATTGTTTGATTGCTCGATTGCTTGATTGCTTGATTGCCTGATTGCTTTTGGCGTGTGCGTGGGTTTTCGCGTCCCTTGACTCTACCTTGACTCAATCTTCCCTTGAACAGGCGGGGTGTACGCGGGGCTGTACAAGCAGGGCGAGCAGGTCGCCACCCTCCAATAAGCAAACGCAACATGATCGGTTTTGGGCCACCCTGCTGTTTCTGTTTCTGTTTCTGTTAAGACACCCACCACGACCACCAGCACTACCTGTGTCGCTGCGGTTGGCGCTGTACGAACATTTTGTCGACGGGGTAAGGGTACCAGGCCGTGAGGTGGAGTGTTTGCTTGTGATGTGTGCGGAGGGGACGAAAAGATAGCGTCCCCGGGAGGGGCATAGTTCCTCGCGTCCCCGCTTTTCCGAATCTATGATTGATTTCATTGGGCCCCTTTTTTTCACGATACCTGTAGACGGTGCGCTTATCATTTGGGTCGTCGGGATGGGGAGGGGTGTACCGTTGGTTCCGAAGCAAGAGATTATTTTTGTGATAAGACAAGGACCCGTATATATAAACAATTGCAGTATATCAAAAAAGGAGGCGTGTTTGGGCGTCTGGCGCGTTCGCCGTGTACACTCATCATACGCCGTAGCGTCGAGCCGAGGGTTGTGAAACGGGTGCAGGATATCCGTGAAGGGTTTGTGTGGCGGGGTGTGTGATGTCGTGGCGAAAGTGAAATCCGCCACACTTTTCCTGTCGTTCGGTCTTGATCAACATGGAAAAGCTGTACTTGGAGTAAATACAAGGAGTTTTAGAGCGTGAGCGGAGTTACGGGTGGAGCTTGATGGAGAAGAGTGGATGGCGTGCATTCGTCGAACTCTTGGGGGCATGGGGAGGCTCGTAGATGTGGCGGCATGAGAAGTCCGGTTCATGCACGAGACAGAGCACCTTGTTGCCTACCAACAGCTCGTTTTTTCTGTGGCAAAAGAGCAGAGCGGAGAATGCCAATGTTGTGTATACAGAGCGTGAAACAATGTGCAAAATGGAAGATCGGAATTTGGGAGACGTGTTTTCAAGCAAGACCTGTGCTTCCGTGGACAATAGAGGGTTCTAAATCCCTCCTGAGGACCAAACCTGACATGAACCTCGCTACTATGGATAGTAGGAAGGCTGGTGAACCCCACAAAGTACATACATGCACATGCGCGCCGGCTTGTTGAAGGGCAATATGCATAGCGCACAACGTGGTAATGGTCGCGCCATTGCGTACACTAAAACATCCGGCAGATGCATCGGCTTCGGTGATGATCCACTACTATTCAACAGCGTGCACGTCCTGGCTATGAACTTTTATTCTGGTCCGGATAAATAGGCCAACAATGGCGATAACCCTTGTGCTTGGTTTGGAGAGGCGCGCCCTTCCCCGTCTTGTATGGAAACAAACAGCAGGCGTGGATTGTAGATTGTCAAGAGCGAGAGTGATCGGTTCACCTAACGCCCTCTCCACGTTATTCCACAAGCCGAAGAAGACCAGACAGGTGAACCGATGCCTCCTACGGTGACCAGTGAAACGTGCTGGAATACCGCCATGAAAAACGCCATTGGGCGGAGTGGAGCACCCTCGGACTTCGTCAATCAGATCAAGTGTTTTTTTTTCCATCGCCACCACTAACAAGTGCGACGATGCCATCATAACTTGATGCGGTTTGTCCTCTGAAACCTGGCACAACAAAAACTGTCATTTATCAATGTCTTCGAGCTAGTGCATCTATCTACAGAGACATGACGACACAGGCAAACCACGCCTGCCTGCTATCTAGGGCAGGATGTTTCCACTCCTGCAGCGTCGTCTTCGTTCACGCCGATTGCCCGGTCTTCACGCATCCGAATTTGTCCTCACCAACGAGTGTACCAATATTTCCATATCTTCACCCCAAACGCCTCCTATGGGCACGGAAGCGCCGTATTCAGCGACAAGGGGTCGGCAACAAACTTAAACCAACGAGTGCACGCACTTGGCTTCGCACAGCAGGAACTTTCAGATGGCGGCGATCAAGTCTACCGAACCAGGCAATCGACAAACCGTGAACGAATAGCCGAATCTACACTACTTACGGCTTAGCGCGCACATGGTCCTAGCCCAACACCTAAAGCTTTCGATGACTTCTTGCTACGCCAGCGCTTAAAACCAATAAACTCGCAGGCGCCGCACAACCCAGCAGCGTTCACAGGTTATGGGGGTGCGTGTGGTGCTCTTCCTGCCCGAAGTCAAAACCCCGGTCACCAAAGGTTCCCCCACCAATCTCGAAACTAGGGGTGCGGGTTAGTACACATGCATCTCTTTCGACTACCCACTCAACAAGCGGCTGGAAAAAAAAGAAACACACTACTCTGTGGCTGACGGGTGATAGCTGACACCGCTCCTATCTCAAAAATTGTGGGACTCGAGGGACGATTAGAGGGTGGCCATGACTTCCCTTGCCGCGGCGATGGTCGCGTCTACGTCCTCCTCGGTGTGGGCTAGGGACATGAACCCGGCCTCGTACATGGAAGGTGCAAGGTACATGCCCTTCTCCAGCATGCCACGGTGCCACCGTGCGAACTTGTCTGTGGGTACAGCGGTGGCGAGCACCAGCGGGAGAATAGGGGTATCGAGCCGACCCGAACGGGAGGGGGGGGGGGGGGGG